TTATTTGAATATAAACACATAGATGAGGACATGCCTATGCTGTTTCAAAGCTTGAAAGATCAAGTCTAGAGATGCCTGACAGTGGTGAGGTAGATATGTTTCTACCTCAAGTTGCTGAGTATATTGAGGACAGTCGAAAGACTAACGATGAATTCACTCGGGACGAAGGACAGAGGGTCGATTTGTCTCGTTGCCTGGGTGAAGACCTATAAATCAGTCGTGGTGTGTAGATGATTGGCCAATCATACCGGTAATATGTTCAGAAAGTTTTGCCTAGTCAGAAGGCTATTGTGTACCTCCTGTTGAGGAGAAGAGATGTGTTGTGAATGATTCAGACGTATGATACAGTATTGCGCAAAGACGGTTGACAAGGATTCAACCATGTGAGTTAGAAAGAAAATACGACTGCTAATTAATGGGACTTAATTGACGCTAGAATTTAAGGTAGTTACATGACAAGGCCTTTAGCTCTATCAATATTCAACTGACCCACAAGTACAACATATTGTTGAAGTTAATATGTTGTATGGTACATTGATGACGATCAATTGGGATTGTTGGATATTGTTTTACAAATAGGAATGCTATGGTTTCATAGGGATAGAGAAAAGAAATGAAAATTGTGATCAGATCTAGAAATCTGAGAGTTTACTTGGATATTTGTGTTCTACAGGACCCTTCGACTTCGCACTTAAGGTGATGATGACACTACTGGTGATGTGGAACTCAGTACCATTGGCGACATGCGTTCCGGATATCTATCGTCTTCACTGGGGTACTACCTTCAGTCACATGGGAAGACTCTTAACGTATGAGCAGACATGGTATCATACGTTTGCTATTGAATTGCCCAAGATCTCTAACTATCCGACTCTGCCTCGAGATATTTGTAAGAATGCCAGTCTTCTAAGGAATCGCTCATCCTGTGATGAGAACATGAGGGCTGTATTGAATTTTACTTATCGCATACATGACGACACTTTAAACGACTTGGTTGAAGGGGTCACTTTGATCAAAAACATTATTCCTCAAGGTCAAATTCCTGGTTCTCAGACTCGCTCCAAGAGAGCATTGCTACCTTTTATTGGTGAATTCTCACATAATTTATTCGGAACCGCCCGTGACAGCGACGTGAACATAATACGACGACATATCAATATATTATCAAATCGAATGAGAGCGGAAGAAGCAGCTTTTAACGTGTCGCAGGATTACATGGGTTCGTACATGTCTAAGGCCAATGACAGAATGGATGGTTTGAAGCAAGGTGTAATTGCATAATGAACTGACTGAACTGATAAAGGTAGAGGATGCTAAGATACGATGGTTTCAGGCCATGTATGCATATTGGATACAACTTGTTGCAAAGGAATTACATTTTGCTACTATGGTTGAAAGAAAGATTAATCAGTTGAGCACAGGATTATATAAGTTATTACAAAATGTACTATCACCCGAGTTGATACCTTTCCGACATTTAAGGCGAGCATTGAAATGTCACAGTTTTAGAAATTAAAGTGATCTCAGACATACTAGTGTCCTCTTGTATAAATGTTGATGTTATACTGTATTCAAGATATTACTTTTACTACATGTTTTATGCTTTTGTGCTACCTATATGCATTTATTTATAATATATATGAATGGGTACACCTACAATATGAGAAAAACATATGTTAAATTTCATGGGAGAAAATCTATCCGTTATATGTTACCAGGATGTTGTATATGGTGCATTGTATTGCACCTCAGGAGTTGATAGATGGCATGTGCGATCACTGCCCAATGAGACATATGACTTTACGATAAGTTGATGTTGTTTTGATGTTGAAACCCCCCCCCCAAAAAAAAAACAACTATTGTGATTGTTTAGTCAGGTGAGATGTTGTTTGTTTACTGTGTACAGATGCCGAAGCTAAATTTCAACATTTACTTGAGAAATTATAAGAGCAAACTGTTGTAATCTTCAGTTAAAGAGGACTTCATGGAGTGTAATGCATGAATTTAAAGTAATTTCCTATTTGATTTACAAATGACTGAATTTTGGACAATTAACTCTTTTGGACATCAGAGTCAAAGTTTTCGCTGTCATACATGTAGGAATGAGCAACCTCAATCTATAAGATGATGGAGAGAATCATTTCTTAAAAAACTTCCACATTAAATAGGACATTTTTGATCATCTGATATGGAGAACTTTTCCTATTAGATAAAGACCATAAGAGTTAGAGTAAGTTGAATATGTCATAGAACATTCTGACATGGAACATGTTGATGACAAAGAATAGTAAGACTATATATTGGATACGTAGAACTCTGAAACTGATCATCAGTTGGTTATTGGTGTTGTGATACTATTGTGATTTTTGCCTGAAGGTAAATGCTCATATGTCTTTAAATATAAGATCGAAATGTTAAGAAAATGTTTTTATTACCAATCTGCAATCTACTGAAAAAGTGTAAATTTTACAAAGAAGAATTGTTTGATTATGCCTTTATAAGTCTTGGCATGTTATTATTCTCAGATAGGTACAACCCAAGACAGATCCTATCTGAGACATTATCTTGTAAAAATTTAATTGTATTGATTTTTCTGGTCCTCAGATGCATACACACACAAGTTGTTACATATTGATATTGTACTATTGTATTTACATTTTATATTCTGTTACCATTGGTCAATCGCATGGGACATGCTCTACAACGGGAAGGGCATGTATAACAAAGGTATTTTGGAAAAAGGGGTTTTTAGTATTTACTTAAAATGTAGTTTACTAAATTAAGCTTTTGGGTAAAAATATGGATGCATATGAGAGAAGTGACAGTACAGGGTGAGGGCATAACCCCCGGGCAAATGATTATGGATATTGCTTCTCTTGAGTGATAGAGATAACTTTTCGTTGGTATGAGGAAATTGGTAGAATACGGTCCTGCAATGAAGATGTCAGAAGAGAGACAGATGGATAGAACGGGATTGTTAGATTAGTGGTGATCAAATATTTCTGAATACTACTGCTTCATTGGAATGTCTAAATAACAGGATTGGGTATCGTTTTGGTGCCTTCCAGTCTGGCAGAGGTAGTTGAGGGTATTTGATTTGGTTAGATGAATATGTCCAAGTTGACCAATGACCCTAAAGAGGTAATCAAACTGGTTAGTCAAGAAAAGCTTGATGGTAAAACTAATAACTATGGAAATTGGGAATGACCATCATGACTCATTTCTCATGATGTCAAATGTGATTTTGGAGGGAGGAGCTAAAATTATCATCGATAGTATTTTGTTAGTTGTCCGAGAGTGTTGCAGGGAGTCGGGAGCATACAGCTGAACAGAAAGGTTCACTGTGGTTTTGGGATCCCGAGTCAGAAAAGAAGTAGAGTTTACGTTCATCAGAAAAACCATCAGGCTCTTCAACCATCATCTAGGTATGTGTTGTATTTATATCAGGCAACAACAAGAACTTATCTGAGGTCCATGTGTGTGTATTTATGATTAACTCTATCATAAATAAAAAGGACTGGAGCAAACCATCTGACTTGTGATTTTGAGAGAGCTACATCATCCCCAGAACCAAGGAGTTGATGATAAGTACAAGTGACCAAAGGTAGAAGGGTAAAGTACCCGGAACCTAAGGTTACATAAGCACGCGTTTTGGTATTACACAATGCGTAATAAAGCTGTATGTTTATTAAACAGGTGATCTCTTCACGGGCAAGTAATAAACCCACATAAGGCCCAGTGTGTGACATCAGTAACATACACACACCTCCCTGTCAGACAAGGCCCAGTGTGTGACATCAGTAACAAACACACACCTGTCTGTCACATAAAGCCCAGTGTGAGGACATCAGAAACCAACACACACACACACACACACACACACACACACACACACACACACACACACACACACACACACACACACACACACACAAACACACACACACACCTGTCTGTCACACACGTCCCAGTGTGTGACATCAGTAACCAACACACACCTGTCTGTCACACAAGGCCCAGTGTGTGATATCAGTAACCAACACACACCTGTCTGTCAGTGTCACACATATTTCAGTGTGTGACATCAGTAACAAACACACACCTGTCTGTCATACAAGGCCCAATGTGTGACATCAGTAACAAACACATACCTGTCTGTCAGTGTCACACATATTTCAGTGTGTGACATCAGTAACAAACACACACCTGTCTGTCACACAAGGCCCAATGTGTGACATCAGTAACAAAGACATACCTGTCTGTCACACAAGGTCAAATGAGTTACATGAGTAACCAACACACATCTGTTTGTCACACAAGGTCCAGGGTGTGACATCAATAAACAACACACACCTGTCTGTCACACAAGGCCAAGTGTGTGACATCAGTAACAAACACACACCTGCCTGTCACAGAAAGCCCAATGTGTAACATCAGTAACAAACACACACACCTATCTATCACACAAGGCCAAGTGTGTGACATCAGGAACCAACACACACCTGTCTGTGTCACACACCGTCCAGTGTGTGACATCCGTAACAAACACACACCTGTCTGTCACACAAAGCCCAGTGTTTGACATCAGTTATCCATCACACACCTGTCTGTCACACAAAGGCTAGTGTGTGACGGCATCAGTAACCAACACACACCTGTCTGTCCCACAAAGCCCAAGGTGTGACGACATCAGTAACAAACACACACCTGTCTCCCACACAAATCCCAGTGTCTGATATCAGCAACCAACATCGTGGGTAATAAGCAAGAGTGGAGCTGTTGTCTGGGGTAGGGGAGGTTCAGCAGTTATCTCCCTTGCAGGGAGGGTAAAATGAGTGTCTGGTGGACTAATGACGGTTGCTGGGAAGAGCAACTGGCTCCCTGTTTTTATGCAGGCAATTGTACTTGTTCTTGTCTTTGGTTAAACAATTTCAATTCCTATTTCGGTGTTGCGTTCTGTCTCACTATTTCCACTCTCAACTGCCAGGTGGAGTATCACCCTATATATCTTGAGCAGATACATCAGCCCCCTTTTCTTGGAGAAGTTTCACGATCTCACTTCTTCTTCTCTTTGCTGCCAGGTGTAGAGGAGTATCACCATCTTTATCTTGAGGAGATACATCAGCCCCCTTGTCTAGGAGTATTTTCACTGTCTCACTACTTCCACTCCATGCTGCCAGGTGTAGAGGAGTATTACCATAGTAACTTTTTGCAGATACATCAGCCCCCTTGTCTAGGAGTAGTTCCACTGTCTCACTACTTCCACTCTCTACTGCCAGGTGTAGAGGAGTAGCACCATCTATATCTTGAGGAGATACATCAGCCACCTTTTCTAGGAGTAGTTTCACTGTCTCACTACTTCCACTCTTTGCTGCCAGGTGTAGAGGAGTATTACGATCTTCATCTTTTATAGATACATCAGCCCCCTTGTCTAGGAGTATTTTCACCGTCTCACTACTTCCACTCATTGCTGCCAGGTGTAGAGGAGTATTACCATAGTAACTTTGTGCAGATACATCAGCCCCCTTGTCTAGGAGTAGTTTCACTGTCTCACTACTTCCACTCTCTACTGCCAGGTGTAGAGGAGTATCACCATCTATATCTTGAGGAGATACATCAGCCCCCTTTTCTAGGAGTAGTTTCACGATCTCACTACTTCCTCTCTTTGCTGCCAGGTGTAGAGAAGTATTACCATCCATATTTTGAGCTGATACAACAGTGCGCTTGTCTTGGAGTAGTTCCCTTGTCTCACTACTTCCACTCTCAACATAACGAAGGAGCAGTTGCAGTATCTTATTATTTGCCAGGAGTAGTGAAGTGACCCCGTCATTGTTTTGTTTTGATACATCAGCCCCCTTTTTTAGGAGTAGTTCCGCTGTCTCGCTATTTCCACTCTTCACTGCCAGGTGAAGAGGAGTATCACCATCTTTATCTTGTGTAGATACATCAGCGCCCTTTTCTAGGAGTAGTTCCACTGTCTCACTACTTCCGCTCATGGCTGCCAGGTGCAATGGAGTACGCCTATCTGTATTCCCCAATTGTAAGCAATTTGGATGTAATCGAACATATGGGACATGTTGTTCGTCTAAGAACATTTTGGTGCAGTGAATATTTCCTGTCTCAACTGCCAGATGTAGAAGTGTATTACCGTCTTCATTTGCGATAACTTGAAGAGGGCAGTTGGCATGTATCAACGCAATCAACATGTGTAAGATTTCACACATGGTGATAGGATCTTGACAAGTCGTTTGTAAACTGCTTGACCATTCCCTCCCTCTGGGAAGCAACGACAACTTTAATATTGTCTGACACCATTCCACAATATTCTTATCTCCTTTAAGATGGTGTAGTATATATTCCACTAAGAACTTATGTCCAGCTAACACAGAGACAAGGAGTGCAACGCGCGGCTGTGGTATCTCTGTTATATTCTCTGTCAGACGTTCCTTGATACCTTTATCAATTGCTGGTGAAACACACAGCGCCAGGAAATAATCAGATGGAGGTGTTGTACACTTATCTAGCAGTTTTTGCACTAGCCTGTTATCCTGGATATACAGAGCAGGTGCCAGTAATTCTGTTGTATCAACTTTATGGAACACGTCAGACAGGATGTCATCCCGGAGTAACATCAACCCCTGTAAAATGACATCAGAGATAAGTGAAGTATATTGCAAAAGGGTAATTGACTTAATAGAGGGAACAGAAACAGTGACATCTTTCATATCATGTTTTTTCTGTATAACCTCAGTTAAGCTATTTTTGTCCCGCCATCTTTCAGTCAGAAACGTCACAAATTCCTTATCACGTAGAGAAGGATGATCAAGTATGACACTGTAACTTTCTGACAGAAGAAGATCCCTGATGCGGTCAGCTAATACATGGAAACTTCCTCTGGGAAGGATAACAACTGTTTCATTCTCGTTTGTCTTCTTTGTGTGCATCAATTCCACCAGCATCTTTGGTGGGCAGTGACCTATAGCAATTGTAGGATCTTTTCTGGAAATATGGATAAATACACAGTCATATATATACTGATGTTGGAACTTGTAGCCCTCTCCTGTGTCAATTAAGTACACTCCAAGGAAATTCTCTATCTTTGACTTAATGCCCGCAGCTGTGAAATCGAAACGGTTGCAACAACATTCTTTTAGGACTTCAGCCAAGGGCTTCAGTTGGTTTGTATATGTAGAGAGTGTCAGTTGATCTGAGCTGAGGCAACCATCTTTCATCAAAATGAGAAGGAGCACAAGGTAGCCCATGCAATCATTTTCATGTATTCTATCAATTTCCTTCAGGACGAATTCCCGGGGTTTTTCAAAGAACTTCACACCCTTTGCTTGTGCTTTCCTGCTTGATGCAAAGAATGTACAACACTGGAGAAACCCTATGAAAGACGGCATTCCAACAATTTGCTCACATTCATAAAGTGTAAAGAATTTATCTGCACATATCTTTTTTACCATTTTAAGTTTTTCTCCTCGTGTGAGAACATATTCTTCTTCATCTAGAACAATGAAGCGAATAGTTTTCATGAGCTTGGACTTCCTTATTTGTTCATCACACTGTGAACCTATTTCAGGTCTGGAGGTAATGATAAGCCATAAATGACCTGATTCCACGTTTGTCCAAATTCGGTCCAACAATGTGCCCCAGCTAATCACATTTGATTCAACCTGGTTACTTGATCTAAACATATCGTCGATTAACACCACATACCTCCTCTGTTCAGCACGTTTGTCCCTATCCAGGTTCTCGTGATTTACCTTAGGAATCAGGTTCCATTCATTCCATGATGAAAGCATGATTGGCAACCGGTGTGTTTGTTTTAATACTCTTGCTAAAATGTTTCGACCTAGAGTTGTTTTCCCTGAGCCTTGCTTTCCTTTTATGAAGACAGATCGATACTGTTTTAGTACTTTGTATGCAGACCTCTCAGCTCTTGTAGATACATGCTTCTTTGAACCGGCCTTGATAAGGCCCCATGCTTCATCTGCAATTATATGTCAGTGTCAGTTTTCAAATAAGTCTTGTCTGATATTGAGAATGAAAGTATTGAAACATACGCATAACACACTGACTACATAATGGCGAGAAACATCTGTAAAGTATCAGGATTGTTTTGTATGTGAGCAAAGTGGGACATTGCATGCAAAAACGGGACACAGTATGTCGACTCCCTTAGATTGTAAAACTATTTTTTTATCCATGTATAAGTTTTTATCAATTTTGCACAGCCTGTAATATACTAATCCATTGGAAGTTTTATTTCTAATCTCAAGAGTCTTATTGTTTCCATTCTCTTGGTTGAATGCTTTCAGAAAAGATGTTGTTTAGTATACTTGAAAACTTTTTTTATTCTTCAAAATAGCAAATTATAATTCTTATTTGACTTTTTAACACTCCAGCATTTATGATGGTGGCATTAATTACTCCTGTCTGTCACAATAAAAGGGCAATAACTATTTTGATAGTATAGTCTATGCACAGAAGTTAACAACTATTCCAAATACTCAAGCAAACTTTAGTCTACTTGTATTGATCATCATTTAAACAGTTTCAGCTTTCTGGAAATTGTGCTTCTCGAAAACATAATATTGTACTTTATTTCAGAAATGATTTTCAGGTAATAAACTAAAAGCAAAATCAGTGTGGGTAATCTTTCCAGTTTCACTAAAGAAGCACCCCTTTCGTACGTCTCTAAATCAATCAGTATGTTACCGGTAAGTGTCCATAATTTAGGGTTACCTATTCAATCCTGAAATTGTACCTGTATATCTTCTAATCAACTGAACTACCTTGAGTTTGAATTTGCTTTCACAGATGAAACATTTCAGTACTTACTGACTAGATTGTCAAGTTTGGAATTACTGCAGTAGTCTGAAACAAAAAGGTTGTACAATTTTATTCTAATAACTAAACAGATATAGTCTACAGATTTGATGAAACTTTTACATGGTAAGTCGACATAACCTGTTTCAAATAAGTTTGTTTGTTTGTTTGTTGTTTAACACCGCACTCAGTAATATTCCACCTTTTTGACGGCGGTTTGTGTAAATAATCGAGTCTGGACCAGACAATCCAGCGATTGATAAACCAATCATCAATCCACGCAATTGGGATACGATGACATGCATCAACCAAATCAGTGAGCCTGACCACTCGATCCCGTTAGTCGCCACTTACGACAAGCAAAGACGCCTTTTACGGCAAGCATGGGTTGCTGAAGAACTATTCTACCTCGGATCTTCACGGGTCTTCAAATAGATAAAATCGGTGTCTGTATCATACGTTAAAAAAGATATGACTTTTTGGTGACGTGTTCATGTACATCTAATAATAATCGATTTCTTATGGGTCCTTATCAATTGAAGCACAAGGATACAATATAATGATTTGGTTTATGAAAACTTAAGCCAAATTTGAAGTTTTATCCAGTTTTTAAAATAAGTATACTGGAATGATAATAAGAAATAAACCTACTGAGTTTTGTCATAGTCGTAACTGTAGATGAAGTACATACTATATCAATTTGAAACCTATTGCTTTAAAGCAAGATTTTTCAAATAAATAATATATCCATTCTGCCATGACAACAATATCACTTTATAATGCAACGCATAATTACTCATGGGTAAATAGGTTTCTTATCTTAGGATATTCCAAAAAGGTGTCACAAATATTACTCAAATTCAAGACTACTAGTAATTGTCATCTTATCTCTAAATCAATTATCATGATGTTAATCAATGACAAACACACACGCACGCACGCACGCGCGCGCACACACACACACACACACACACGTTATTGGTTCAAAATAATGTTTACAAAATATACATAATTCTTGGGGGGGGGGGGGGGGGGGGGGGGGTACCATGACACAACCTCTATTACACAATGTTATATTTGGGATAACACTTTCTTAGAAATGTACAGAATCTGGGATGTGCCGTAGAATGTGTACTTTACTAAGAAAGTGTTATCCCAAATATAACATTTATCACATTTGACCACTTTCTATATGGCGTTGTGCCACGGGAACCGTACCAATTTACACTTGACATGAGGGGTAGACACAATATGTGATCAAGACTACCTGTTGTTGGACTTAATGTTTGTGGAAGCCTGGTGGCTGAGTTGGTTAGATCACTGACTTTGTGTGCTGGCGATTAGGTGCTCTGGCAGTGTGCGTTCGAATTCCCGGACGGGACTCAACCCCAAAAAGTACGCGAATCTGTACTGTACTTAGTGAGTGAGTGAGTTAAAATTTAACGTCGCATTATTTCAGTCATACAGAGACGAGACCAAGTTAATATATTTACAATTCAGTTTTTTATTCAAATTTTTATTTAAACACAAGTTGTGAAACATATTTGAGCATACTATAATTAAAAACAATTTAAGAAACATATTTGGGCATAACAATATTATATATACAGTTTTAAAATACGGGCTATAGGCCACCAGTAACCAAAGCTAGACCACCTCGCTGGAGATCATGGGGACTTACTGTACCTCTGCTTCCTGCATTATACCCCAACAGGATTTACGTCATCACTTTAGCTACTGGTGGTTATGCTCAATATTAGCCAATATTTAAAAAACCTCAGCAACGAGTTGGCTTTAAAACACTGGTTGGTGATAGTTACATCGATTATGATAGGATTATTTGTCACACAGGGGAACAATAATTTTATGATAATTTAACCCCCTGGACAGAGCCTTCCATAGTGTCAGTTGATAATGGCATCCAACCAAATTTAAAAACAAGCATTTATTTATTCACATAGATATTTCAAATGTATTATACAGACCAATTTCTTTCAAATAGCTGATAATAAGATGCCCACTGACACGGGAAAAGAGATCTTTCAGATTTACACTTTGATAATGTGAATCCCTTGCAATTGAAAAGTCCACACAGTCAAGAAATATATGCTTGACGGTGAACCTTCCATCACAAGGGATACACTTAGGAGGTTCGTCCTCATCT